AGAGTGGATTTAACTCTACCACTGATACTGAAAAAATCCTATGTACGTTGCTACGTTGAAGTACCGAGAATATAAAAATATTTACGTAAATTTTGCTTGTCAAAATTTTGTGTTCTGACTATGTTTAGTGCTATTACATGCCATAAATTAGTGAAACACGAGGTGGCCGAAAAGTAGACCATAATAAACATATTTTGTATAGGAGAAGATGATGGTAAATTGGGAATGGACCTTCAATGCGTAAGATAAATCCGGATTCCAATGCTTTTCTCATAATACCAAATAAAGTGAAACCTTTTAATTTATTATAGTATTAACCTTATATCAATGCAAAATGAAATCTAAATCAAAGTTATTAAGTCAACTAGAACCATTGTGCTAAAATAATAGAATAAAATAATAATTACTTTTATATAACTCCTATAGTATAGATGAAAAGAATAATAATTAGTTGACAAATAAACTAGCTTATGATATTCAAGTGGGAATAAAAGGTGATATAAAATATATAGTTGTATATTATAATTTTTAAAGCAATTTTGAATTAAAATTGCACTAATACTGAAACTTGCTTGATAGTATATATGATATTTATTTATTTAGGGACAAACAAAATCACAGTCAAACATACTCTGAGTTTTTAATTATAAGCCCGTGTATAGTTCAACGAACAATCTTTGGCTACAGTGTTCATCTTACTAAACTATTTATGAACTCATCAATATTGTTAAATTTGAAACTCGTTAAAGGGTACACAATATTCTGATAAACTATGTCATAAATTGGAGGGAGATCAACTCGAAAATATTTTACTTATTTCACCATCTTATCAAAATAATAAGATCCTTTCTATCACGCCTAAGTTATTAAAATATTTAATTGGTTTGCACGTTGAGAATAAAATAGAAAAACCTAGGCTTATGAAGAAATATATATATAAAGGTTGTTTTACTCTCCTTTTGTTCGCGCGCTTCTGTTGACCCTTTTTTCCTTACTTGGTACCGGGCTGCTTTGGTTTATAATTTCATATGGACCGATTTTTGCGTCTCGGTGCCGATAGCCTAGCTTCCTTTGGACAATCAAGCTCTCAGCCTACTGATGGGCCTGTCCCGGATACAGCTGAACAAGTTTATATAAGCTCCTTAGCTCTGCTAAAAATGCTTAAACACGGAAGGGCAGGTGTTCCCATGGAGGTAATGGGCTTGATGCTCGGGGATTTTGTTGATGACTACACAGTTACTGTAGTCGACGTTTTTGCTATGCCTCAATCAGGAACTGGTGTTAGCGTTGAGGCTGTCGACCCCGTGTTTCAAGCCAAAATGTTAGATATGCTAAAACAAACTGGAAGGTATTTTTATCTATTTTATTTTTTTCTAGGCCTGAAATGGTTGTTGGATGGTACCATTCTCACCCTGGGTTC